AGTACGTACCTTGACAAGATATTGAAGAAGTTCAATATGGATCAGTCCAAGAAGGGGTTCTTGCCTGTATTGCAAGGTATGCAATTGAGCACGGCTCAATGCCCGACCACGGCGGAAGATAGAGAAAAGATGAGTGTCGTCCCCTATGCCTCGGCCATATGGTCTATTATGTATGCCATGCTGTGTACCAGACCTGATGTAAACCTTGCTGTAAGTTTGGTAGGAAGGTACCAAAGTAATCCCGACATGGAACACTGGACAGCGGTCAAGAATATCCTGAAGTACCTGAAGAGGACTAAGGATATGTTTCTCGTTTATGGAGGTGACAAAGAGCTCGTCGTAAAGGGTTACGTCGATGCTAGCTTCGACACAGATCTGGATGACTCCAAGTCACAAACCAGATACGTGTACATTTTGAATGGTGGGGCAGTAAGCTGGTGCAGTTGCAAGCAAAGCGTTGTGGCGGGATCTACATGTGAAGCGGAGTACATGGCAGCCTCGGAGGTAGCACAAGAAGCAATCTGGGTGAAGGAGTTCATTACCGATCTAGGAGTCATTCCCAATGCGTCAGGCCCGATGGCTCTCTTCTGTGACAACACTGGAGCTATTGCCCTTGCCAAGGAGCCCAGGTTTCACAGGAAGACCATGCATATCAAGCGTCGCTTCAACTCCATTCGTGAAAGTGTTCAAAATGGAGACATAGATATTTGTAAAGTACATACGGACCTGAATGTAGCAGATCCGTTGACTAAACCTCTCCCTAGAGCAAAACATGATCAACACCAGAACTCTATGGGTGTTCGATTCATCACAATGTAACTAGATTATTGACTCTAGTGCAAGTGGGAGACTGTTGGAAAAATGCCCTAGAGGCAATAATAAAATGGTTATTATTATATTTCCTTGTTCATGATAATTGTCTATTGTTCATGCTATAATTGTGTTATCCGGAAATCGTAATACATGTGTGAATACATAGACCACAACATGTCCCTAGTGAGCCTCTAGTTGACTAGCTCGTTGATCAAAAGATAGTCATGGTTTCCTGACTATGGACATTAGATGTCATTGATAACGGGATCACATCATTAGGAGAATGATGTAATGGACAAGACCCAATCCTAAGCATAGCTCAAAGACCGTGTAGTTCGTTTGCTAGAGCTTTTCCGAATGTCAAGTATCATTTCCTTAGACCATGAGATTGTGCAACTCCCGGATACCGTAGGAGTGCTTTGGGTGTGCCAAACGTCACAACATAACTGGGTGACTATAAAGGTGTATCTCCGAAAGTGTCTGTTGGCTTGGCACGAATCAAGACTGGGATTTGTCACTCCGTATGACGGAGAGGTATCTCTGGGCCCACTCGGTAATGCATCATCATAATGAGCTCAATGTGACCAAGTGGTTGATCACGGGATCATGCATTACGGTACGAGTAAAGTGACCTGCCGGTAACGAGATTGAACGAGGTATTGGGATACCGACGATCGAGTACGTCTCGGGCGAGTAACGTACTGATTGACAAAGGGAATTGTATATGGGATTGATTGAATCCTCCACATTGTGGTTCATCTGATGAGATCATCGAGGAGCATGTGGGAGCCAACATGGGTATCCAGATCCCGCTATTGGTTATTGACCGGAGAGTCGTCTCGGTCATGTTTGCGTGTCTCCCGAACCCGTAGGGTCTACACACTTAAGGTTCGGTGATGCTAGGGTTCTTGAGATATTAGTATGCGGTAACCCGAAAGTTGTTCAGAGTCCCGGATGAGATCCCAGACGTCACGAGGAGTTCCGGAATTGTCCGGAGGTGAAGAATTGTATATAGGAAGTCCAGTTTCGGCCACCGGGGAAGTTTCGGGGGTCACCGGTATTGTACCGGGACCACCGAAAGGGTCCCGGGGGTCCACCGAGTGGGCCCACCTATCCCGGAGGGCCCCATGGGCTAAAGTGGGGAAGGCAACCAGCCCCTGGTGGGATGGTACGCCCCCCTTGGGCCTCCCCCTGCGCCTAGGGTTGGAAACCCTAGGGGTGGGGCGCCCCACTTGGCTTGGGGGCAAGCCACCCCCCTTGGCCGCCGCTCCCCCCTTGAGATCCAATCTCTAGGGCCGGCGCCCCCCTAGGGGCCCTATATATAGTGGGGGAGGGAGGGCAGCCGTACCCTAGCCCCTGGTGCCTCCCTCTCCCTCCCGTGACACCTCTCCCTCTCGCTGAGCTTGGCGAAGCCCTGCCGAGATCACCGTTGCTTCCACCACCACGCCGTCGTGCTGCTGGATCTCCATCAACCTCTCCTTCCCCCTTGCTGGATCAAGTTGGAGGAGACGTCTTTCCAACCGTACGTGTGTTGAACGCGGAGATGTCGTCCGTTCGGCGCTAGGTCATCCGTGATTTGGATCACGACGAGTACGACTCCATCAACCCCGTTCTCTTGAACGCTTCCGCTCGCGATCTACAAGGGTATGTAGATGCACTCCCCTTTCTCTCGTTGCTAGATAACTCCATAGATTGATCTTGGTGATGCGTAGAAATTTTAAATTCTGCTACGTTCCCCAACAAGAAAGACATTTGTGTTCAACACTTTTAGACGAAGAACATTTTGACGATCATGTTGGAGCTATAATAGTAAAAGGTGGCACAATGCATTTTTTCATTTAAGATGCTTGTTCGAATGCAAAGATCGGAGGTGAATTCTTGCAGTTGTATCACTTGATGTAGCGGAGGCCGATAAAGCTTTAATTTTAGGGGAAAAAATGAAGTTATGACTTTATGCCCAAATAACTCACCTATTGGTTATGCTTAACATCTTTAATTTCATATCATATCCAATGCCTAACTAAATTGGGGCTTAATATGTGTGCATATTTGTTCGTATAGGTGATTGTTTGGTTACAGGCAACTAGTGCAACGCTTTTCTGCACACACATTAACATCATCACATGTGTGCACTCACACAATGCCTACTAAAACCTAAAGTCGCGGGAGATGGAAGATTGACAAAATCGAACATAGTATCATATTGGTCTGGGATACAACCACCTCTACTATCGCCTAGAGTTGCTTGATTCTCAAGGAATATGTGGTGTTGATAATTATTTTGTAGCAAAACGTTGGACTATGATGTGATACATTGAGAATTAATTAAGAAAAAAGTCAAGTTAAAATGCAAATTAGAAACGAGGTTTCCATAATGTGATTTTTTTATCGTGGTTTTGGCACATTGTGTAAACTAGTGCGAAGTCTATAAGGCCCATAGGCCATAACAATGTCTTTTGTAAGTGCTAGTGTCATTTTTTTACTTGTCTTTGCCCATAAGGGAGCAAGTAAATATATTTCAAGCAAAATAGTGCTAAAGTGCAATAAAATGTATGGTGCTAATATTTAGCTAAGTACATGCCAAATAAAGCTAAGGTTAGGGGAGAACCGAACGAAACGAGGGGAAAGAAAGGTTCACATGGGCTACAATTTCTCTGTTATCACATCCATGAAATTCCTAAAAAAAAGAATCAAACAGAGGAGTGGGTGGGGGTGCCCTGCGGCTCTCTCTCAATTGTAGGAAGTTGTGGTGCTAGTTGACGCTATTCTGTTGATTCTTCTCCAAACAGGAACCACCGATTTACAAATTTTATTAACCACTGAATTAGTGAGTGGCATCAAATCCTTCTATGGATTGCTTTTTTCGCCTCTTTTGCCGTCAAAGTGCAGAATCTAAGAGCGGTTTATGAAATTTGAGACGAGAAACCTCTGAAAGCTATACTTAACAAAAAAATGATGGTGAACTGTCCAGATAAACTCGAGAACGATTCCCTTTTTTATGCATTACCTGCTAGCAACCTAAAGGCCCTCCTAGAAATTGGGAGCCCAAAGGTGGACTCTAGACAACCTATGACCATGGTGTTGGGAATAAGCGCACATACACTTATATAATATGAAAACTATGATGGAAGCAAAGTGTAATTTCAGCACTACTTCATGCACATATTCAGGGATCATTGCTCGCCGTGGAAAGAAACACATGCATCGACATTCAACATATATGGATTGAATTAATTCAAGCTCACTGGTTGAACTTAGGGAAAGCCCTGAGTACTTCCAGCACATAGCTAGGACAAGTAGTAGTTGCTTTCAGACATTCTTCTAGAAAAATGTAGCATCAATATGAAAACACATAGACACCAAATATTAACATGGAAAAGTCCCCAAATTAGGGTAAAACCCACTAGATGAAGCGACTCAAATCTTTTTCCATTATTATCAAACATGTGATAGAATCGTTTCCTCTCTAAGTAGTTTTAGAGGCTCTCATACATTGAGATATCACTACCTTAGATGAAGACAGTAAGATTTAGGGTAGCAAGAGCCAAGGATTAAAACAACCTCATCAAAGATGATGGAACCAAAGCTTGAAAGATACGGGGTGGTAGATCTCAACTTCACAACCTCGGGGACAAACCCCATTTGCTTGATGACAATCTTCTTCGTTTTTCCTCTATTCCCATTAAGTTCATTTTTTTTCCTCCAATGGAGGCTAACTTAGAATTTTTGTCACTTCTCTCGGTGACTACTGTACGGGAGGCTAAACATCCCTCTTGCACACATTTAGGCTGCCTATAAGAATTCAGAGGTTCAAGTCATCTCCTGACAACCCACCCCTAGAGATGGTGTTTCATCGATGAGGCCATTTCTGGCTCATGCTTGGCAATACAGACATCTGTCTTGCAAAGAAAAATAAAAAATGTTGAAGCGATAACCGCCCTTTCCAGTTTGAGAAGAGTGTTAGTTCGCAGAAATTGGATTAACTTCAAAAATTATTTCTCTATACCTCCAGGAAATGTAAGATACACAGCATGCATTTAACGAGAAAATAGAATTACATAGCATTTAAGAAGAATCCAGACACATCTGTCTGTCACAGTTGCGCTTTTGGTTAAGTGACCGCTACCAGGCCTGGCATAGTAGCCCGACCATGAACACACAGGGGTGAAAGAAGAAACGGCGGCTTCTCATTTCAGAAGAGATCTTGCAAAGTGTTCCCTGGCTGTGGCCAGAGCTTGAGATATTGTCTGCAGAGAACAAACAGCCAAATAGAAAAACTATGAGATACTATATGATAAATGACAGGAATGTGCAGGGACCGAGATTCAGAAATTTGCCTGCTCAGAGAAGGGAACAGAGCCGTCAGCAGCATTGGTTGCAACCTTCCCCGCAATGGTGTTCGCATCTGTTTCAAGAATTATGCTGCACAAATACACAAAAAAGGATCACATAATTTCAGTTTATTTTCAAATCTTTAGCATGCATATATAAACACTAAAAAATCACAAGAATAATTTTTTGTGGTCTAATGAGCTAAGGTCATTATTATATGAAATCAGCATCAACCATGATATGTTCCTAAACACTGCTCACTTATTTAAGGGCCCTCTTGTTTGGAACACTGGAATTTTTACAGATTCCATAGAAATTAAACCATGTCCTGTAAAACTCGTGTGTTTTAAATGGGGCCTACCTTTTCCCATATATTAAGGAAACTCCATGAGAGCTCCCAGAAAATGGACATAAAATAAAAAGTAGACAACAATACAACATAAACATGCTGCAGAATGTTGACATGGCACAAGAGTATGATGCCCAACACCTTCATGTCAACAGAGGATTATGAAACATGAGACAACTCAAATTTAGCATAGATCACAAGAAAACTTTACCCGCCATCAATAATCTCATCAATGCAGAGAAGAATCAAGTCCAAGTTCTCAAGTGCAGTCCTCTTCTCAACATCACCCCTAAAGCACAATAAGTTGCACCTTGAACCAACTGCCTTACAAATTACCAGTATCAAAATACCAGTTCATGCAGTAACATTACAACATGTATATTACCTGAGTAGAAGACCAACCGAATCAGCAAAACCCTGTAGCCCATTTGCTATGATGAGCTCATTCTCATCATCTCCGGCAGTGACGAAAAAGTGTAGGTCTTGTACAAACTTGTAAACAACAATATAACCATCAAGCAATGTTATCTCAGCTGCAGAGAATCAAAATAGGTGTCAAAGGTAAATCCAAATTTAACTCAGACAACAAAATAGTTAATATTATTGAACATAATATACTAATGAAATAAACCTGAAACTTTTCACCCATCCAATAACATTTCCGGTCATTGGACATTCAGGGTTCCTCAATTAGGGCATACAATTGGAAGTAAACTAACATGAACCGTTCATGAAATATTTTCTGTTCAACTAATGCTCTTTGTTAACACGTGATGCCATTTACATACCACAAACAAGAGATGTGTTGAATAATTGTCAATAAAATCAAATAATACGTTCCTACCAAATACTTTAAAACCAATAAAGCATATTACGGAGTATTACCTGCATTATAAATCAGCAGCGGGCTTTAACTTACGGCCGGGCCTAGATATGCATGTATTGCAACTATGGTCTCAAATATGAGTTACTAATGGCAAATTCAAGTAATTTTGTGAATTACAATCGTTGACCAATGATAAAAAATGGCAAAAGCAATTAAAACCAGTGCTGATGGTAAGACAGGAATTCACATGGTACAGACTGAATGAATTACCTTCGGAGCGTGCATTTGTCTTCAGAGTTTTAGTAAAAATGGACTTTTCAAAGGTCAACCTAGATGCGTTATTCGGCCAATCATCGGAGAAGTACTTCACAGCAACACGCTTCCCCTCAGAATCCAGTAGCAAAATGTTCTTCACGGAAGGGCAAGATTCCTGTGTAACGGTAACGGGCAATCATTACAAGACTTTCTCCAGAGAAATAAGCAAGCTGCTGCCGCACTTCATATTTATCAATTGAAAGCACCATTTTCATATAAGAAAAAACAAAGCTAACCACAGTGAAAGAGGGAACAAATAAGAATTTCAGCAAATCAGTGAAGAGTATAAATAGTTAATACATAATGCATGATATGTCAGGTTTCAACATTTTGGTTATCATATTACATTATTACAGACTAAGTATACCTTGGTCTTTTTCCCTTTAGCATCAAGCAGTGAACTGTAACTTTACTCTGCTTCTGAAAATCAAAATCTTAAATTATGGTACAAGAACTGTGGTCGATCAACTAGTTTCAGACAGACCACCCGTGCTCTATGTGGAGTAGTTAAGCTTTACAGAAAGGAAGGTGCTAATCACAAACAATTATATAGTTTCAGCTTCAGTTTACACTTCATAGAAAAGAATTGACAGCCCAATTTACACGATCTTCCAGTGCCATATTGCAAGAATGATAACAGCCAATTAACATAACTAGGTGATGAGATGACATATGTGAAGCCTTCATAGATTTCCAGAATGGCGGTAGTTTCAGCTCTTTGGCTCACAGTTATCATAGGGCATCACCGCTGATAGAGGGGAAATCAAAAATTGTTTGGTTTATACTACATCTATGCATGGTCGACATTTTTTTTTTGGCAAACCGATTGATCAGTTCTTGGGACACAAATTCGGCTGTGCAAGATCACCCTCATAACAATGAACGTGCAAATCGAATGTAAACACGTGCAGTCAGAATGTATGGCAACAAGTAACAGGAACAGAGAAAGAATCTGCGGACCTTGGAGAATTCCCCCATGGCCTCCTCTCAGCTCCTTCCTTCGGTCCAAGCTTCCTGCCGAAGAGAGAAACGCACCCAGATAGGTAAGATCGACAGAAGCAGCTCAAAACCAAATGGCGGAAACGCAGCTCGGATCTGGACGGCCTGTTCTCGTCAGATCCGGGCTGCAAAAGCATGCAACGAAAGCTGTCGAGATGATTGACGGGCGCGCGGCGCGGATCACACATAGCGAAGGCGCGCATCGGATGAATCCGCGGAGACTTGTCGAGGATGGAGGTGGGAGAGATCTAGAGAGGAGAAGTTACCTGGAAGGGAGAGTGATCGGGAGAGAGAGCTTTGGTTTGTTGGTGCCCGCGAGATCTGAGATGCAGCAGACGAGTGTAGAGAAAGACGGGAGGGATTCGGCAGGCGAGCGCAAGTGAACGAGGTGGTTAGTTTAGCTACTCCAACAGGCCCGCTGGCCCGGCCCAGTTGGCTTCGTTGGATGGGATCAAAAACTGAGAAGGGGCACGCCCCTATATCTCGCATTCAGCGAGTCCAGCTTCCGACTCGCTGAAGGGGCACAGCCTCTTTTTCTGTTTTCTGTTTTCTTTTTTTATTTTTGTTTATACTTTAAAATACTCTAAATATACATATCACAAAAAACGCTCCACAAAAAATATTTTAAAAATCAAGAAATTGTTTTTGGAAAAAAACTACTCAAGCATTCGGAAAATGTTGAACGTGTAGAAAGATTGTCGAACATGTATAAAAAATTATTGATCATGTATTAAAAAATGATGAATTTTTTTGATCATGTATATAAAATTTCAAGAATTTAAAAAAATGATGAACAAGTATTTGAGTAATACTAATCAAGCATTTGAGAAATGTTAAATGTGTATAGAAAAATGTTGACCATATATTGAAAAAGGATGAAATATTTTGTTCAAGTATGTAAAAATGTTAATCAAGCATTTGAAAAAAAATGTTGAACAAGTGTTTGAATAATGTTAATCAAGCGTTTGGAAAATGTTAGATGTGTATAAAAATTGTTGACCCTGTATTAAAAAATGTTAGTCTTTTTTTATTTGAAAACTGTTAATCAAGCATTTAAAAAATGTATATAAAAATTGTTGACCATGTATTTAAAATGTTAATCTTGTATATGAAAAATGTTAATCAAGACTTTGAAAAATGTTTAAAATGTGTATAAAAAAGGTTGACTGTATATTAAAAATGTTAAATTTGTATTGGAAAAATGTTAAACGTGTATTAGAAAAATATTGTTGACATATACAAAAAATGTAGAACAAAAATCAAAAGAAATAAAGAAAACCAAAAAAGAAACAAAATAAACCAAAAAATGAAAAAAAACTGAAGAAACAAATGCATAAAGAATGAAAAAATAAAAAAAACGAAGAAGAAAAAGAAACAAAAAAGAAAAAGAAAAAAACCCTGAGAAAACCAGCTCGAATCGCCTCAAGGACTCCCGCCATACTACTAGCCATGAACGCGAAGCG